CCCCCCCCACACACACACACAATATATTGGCAATCCCTTGCAGTCAAGGATGATCGTCTTCTAGGACTGTGCGAAATTTCACCGGCTGTTTCGTTTTGATGCTGTTTTGACTCGTTTTGAGCTTGAAACAGCTAAATCAAAATGAAACAAAGGGCTTCGAAAGAGCCTTGAAATGAAATGAGGCCAGTCGAAACATTTAAAAAGTTTGAAATTGTTTCAAGTTTCAGAGCAGCAGCCAGGTAGTGGGAGGCAGGGGAGAGCCAGGGCTGCGCTGCCAGTGGCTCCGCAGCCCCATGTGGCTCAGCCAGGTGGGGAGCGCAGTCCTGGCTCTCCCTGCCTCCCACCACTGGGCTGTGCTCCATGGGGCTGGTGGAGCCAATGGGAGTGCAGCTCTGGCTCTGCCCACCTCCCGACACCAGGCTGCACTCCCATCAGCTCCACCAGCCCCATGGAGCCTCGCCTGGTGGTGGGAGGCAGGCAGAGCCAGCACTCCACTCTGCTTCATGCCACCGGGCTGAGTTCCACAGGGCTGGAGCTGCTGGGAGTTGAGCCCGGTGGAGGGAGGTGGAGCACAATGCTAGGGCTGCATGCCACCTCCCTCTACCAGCCAGCAAGCTGCTAGGTGTCGAGCCCGGTGGAGGGGGGTGGTGCACAGCACCAGCAGTGCACCCCACCTTCCTCCACCAGGCAGCAAGCCACTAGGCGCTGAACCCGGTGGAGTGGGCTGGCACACAGCACTGGTGGTACACACTGCTTCCCTTTACCAAGCAGCAAACCGCTAGGTGCTGAGCCTGGTGGAGGGGGCTGGCCAGCCCTCAGCGCCTAGCAGCTTGCTGCCCGGTGGAGGGAGGTGGCATGTAGCACCGGGGTTGCACTCCACCTCCCTCCACTGGGCTCAGCGCCCAGCAGCTCCCAGCCCTGTGGAACTGAGCCTGGTGGGGGGAAGCGGAGTGCAGTGCTGGGCCTGCACTCCGCCTCCTTCCACTGGGCTCAGCTCCCAGTGGCAGTGGCAACCTCCTGCCTGCACCCCCAGGAGGGCCCTGACAGACTCCTCCGGGGGTGTGGGCGAAACTCAAAACAGTGTTGAAACAAAATGAAACAGTGGTTTCAAAAGGAAACTAAACTTGAAACGAAACACTGTTCTGTCAAAACAGAAGTCAAAGCAAAACAGTGCTGTTTCACACAGCCCTGTTATCTTCCATGATTGCTTTATTAGGGTTTAAAAGAAGCCCTTCACTGGGGAGGAATTACTCCACATCTGATTCTTTTGAGGTCTCTTCACCTTCTTTTTAAGCAGTGTTTCTCAACCCTTTCAGATTACTAACTGCTTTACACTTACTATAGAAGTAAGAGCAACACATACATATGAAAACAATGATAAAAATATTGATATGTATATGCTGAGAATTTGACAGTGACTACTTGATCTTGAAGGGTATGGTTACGCTGAAAAAGAAATTTTCTTTCCCTTTGGTTGTAATGCAGTTTGTAATAGGTCGTGACCCCTCCCACTGCCTTTTCTGAGTCCCTGGGCCAGAGGGGTGGCATTCTTCCCTCTAGCTGAGAAAAGTGGTTAGTTCACACATGTAGGACTGGCCACTGGGAAACAGGTATTGGACTCGATGGATCATGGATCTTATCTGGTATGTCAATTCCTACATCCTGGAAGTGCTAGCTCCTTAGCTAATCATGCTTACACATGCCTCGGCCCTCACAACTAGTTAGGGTCTAGTAAGTCCCCAACCAAAGCTCTCACTCTCATTGTCTTTGATGATAGCAAAGACATTTCTTAGATCATTTCTCCAGAAATGGGTCCCTTCTGAGGACATATTTTTCTAAAGCATATGAGTAGACTTTACTAGGTCTGAAAAACAATCAGCAAAATTCATACAAAGTGATAATATTATATACAGGCTTACTTTGTATTGAAAAAATAACGAACACAAGAAAGTATCATCTTGCTAGTTAAACATAACTTCTTTAAATCACTTTTTTTTTATTTTCAAGATGTACTTCAATTCCACGTTAACGGACTCCTCTAAACTTCTAAAACCTCTACTGGTCTTTGCTTTTATTATCTGTGGAATTATATGCGGCCTGACTCGTATCACACAGTACAAGAATCACCCAGTTGATGTTTATTGTGGATTTCTAATAGGAGGAGGAATTGCTCTCTATTTGGTAAATATAATATGAATGTAGAAAGTTTTAGTAAGCAATGTACATAAGAATATTCATAATATCTAGAAAAAATCCTTTATGGTTATTATGTACAGATATTCTGCCCTATGATAACATATATATTCAGCAATGGTTTGAAGATTTTTATTAACTATAAGCATTATAAGGGGGAATGATGTTGCCATTTAAAATATGTATAGTAATGTACAACATTGATTTTAAAGGGAAATGAGATCTAACATTGAACATGGAAACCCCTCTAAAAATGTGCATTGTGACACTATTTGAGAGGCACTTGTGGCCTTTCTATTAAACACTTGAAAGGAAAACAAAGAAAAAAAATTGCTGCCATGTTGAGTTTATACTACATGGGTTAGTTTTATCACAAATAAAAATTAATACCAAAATTAACATATTACCAGATGCAGTAAATTACCAAGCCAGTAAGGAACTAACTGATGCCCTTATTGATCTTTGGAGAATGGTATAGAGGTTGCACAAAGTTGTTCTGATCATAAACAAGGAGCAACAGTCTCAAGTTGCAGCAAGGGAAGTTTAGGTTAGCTATTAGAAAGAATTTTCTCACTATGAGGGTAGTAAAATACTGGAACAGGTTATGAGAGAGGTGGTAGAAGCTCCATCATTGGAGGTTTTCAAAACCTGGCTAGACAAAGCTTTGACTGGGATGATATAGTTGGGGATGGTCCTGCTTTGAGCAGGGGGTTGAACTAGATGACTTCCTGAGGTCCCTTCCAACCCCTTCTATGATTCTATGCCAGGAAGCTCCAAGGCATTCCACCTGTATCAGTTAGAAGCAGGTGTAATAATTCAGGGGCTGCTTTGAGGAATACTCAGGATAACTTCTTACACCAGTTGGTGAAAAGATAAGAAAGTGTTCTACCAGTGTCTTCTTACATCTGTACAGCATGGCCAGGTTAATCACCCTCCAGCACACAAGCAGAGATGTAATGATGCAGCCAGTTGCCCAGGACACCTACCACACACAGGGGAGCAGCAAATTCCAGTTGCTGCCACACCACACAGCTGCAGCAACAGCTGTTTTTCTTTGGGCACCCTTCCAATTTGGTGCCTGGCGTGGCTGCCCCAGGCACCTTGCCCTAGTGCTCAAGAAGATCTGGTGACAACATTTTACCTGGATCTTCTGTGGGTGGGTGAATGAAGAAACTTCCCTGAATCCAGTTCAGCTATTTACACACCAAAATGAGTCCCATGTCTGTCAGTATAACATTGAAAGATATGACTGTCCATCACTTTATGATCATCACATGACAACCTAAGCTATGTACAATGAGTTTACAATAGTGGGTGATTTTGAGGGCATCTGCTTTTAGAGCAGAAGAATGACCATCAGCATAAGTAGACTATGAAAATCATATTATATATTGAAAGTCGTTGATTCTTTATTAACAAATTTCACATAAAATGACTGTGTGATTTTTTTTTAAAGTCACAAAAAGGAGCTGTGCATATGTTTTATATTATTTTTTATGCATGTTCTTGGCTCAGCTGCCCACATGCTGTTGCACAGTTGCATACGGGAGGGTTCATTGTTCTGAATACTATGCACCATATGAATCTGTCCTGAAAGCTAAAATTTGATGGGGAAAGAGAAAGGGAAAATAATACTGTACAAGCACAAGTAGCTCTCGACAGAGTGCAAGGAACAATTAAGCTGAGTGATTAATTAAAATAGTTTAACTATTTATGACATATTTGCTCTTGGTGGAGTAAAAGTAATGTTGTAGCCATAATGATCCAGAATTATTTGAGGCACAAGAATTTTTAGGGTGATATATTTTATTGTAGCTGTTCCCTACCACCGGGCTGTGAAGGGTTGGCTGCCGTCTCACAGCACAATCCCCCCGCTCAGACTCCCTTCCACCCAGGCAAGTGTCTTCCACTGCCAGCAGTGACATGAAGGGTTAAAGCTGGGGGGCAGGGCAGCCCTGGGAAGCAGGCAGCCAACTCCATGCACCCCAACCTGCTCCTGTGCTAGCCCGCAGGTTGGGAACCACTGTTTTATTGGACCAACTATACAGTTGTGATAAAGTTAGACATAACCTGATGAAGAATGTCTAGCATTTGAAAGCTCATCTAATTTTATCCCAACTATGTAGTTGGTCCAATAAAAGATGTCAGCCAAAGAAATTGTTGCCTCTTGCGTATTCTCTCTCAGCAGAGTTTGTGAAAATGACATTGTTTTACAACTGGTCCACTGAATAGAAACATGTAGTAAAGCTAAACCTTGCTAAAGGTCTGCACACCTTGGAAACCACTGACTCACAGGTGATGAACTGTTCTTTCGTGTGGATCTTGTATTACATGGTTATTATGAAAACGAAAGGGCAGAACAACTGAACAGAGAACTAATCAGACTTGAACAAGTTTCAATAAATCAGAGCAGACAGTTGTATGACTCTAAAATTTCATCAGTTAGGACCAGAAATTGCAAAATCATTAATTACTTTGAAAGCTACATGTTCTCTCTTGTGCTGAATATTGTTTTATATTCAGCACAACCCCCAGCTCAACCTCCAGCTCATGGGCTAGATCTGGCCTGCAGTGCTGTATCATCTGATGCGCTGGGCTCCCTATGTCTAGAAATCTGGTGACAGGGGAGTGGTGGCAGCATTGCCTCTCCCCTGCCAAATTTCTGAACCTGTGCAAAGCCTGGTGGGCTAGATAGTATAGCCCTGAGGGCTAAATTGGCCACGAGGGTCTGTAGGGACATGGGGCCTGATAGGGGTACATGGGACCCAACCCAGTGCACAGACCCTATGATGGATCTGGCCTGAAATGTTGAGCACCACTGCTTTATAGGAGAGAGAACAACAGGAGGAAGCCAAGTACCCCGGTTCCCCTAAATATTAACTTGGGCAATAGTGGTGTAACTATGTAGCCTACTGGTATAACTGTGTACGTAACTGGACATACAGAACTGTGAGCAGAATTGGTACACAATAAAACTTCTATTGGTGAAGATGCTAACTAATGGAGAAAAAAGGAGGCAAACAGAAACTGAATGAGTCCTGTCAAATCTGAATTAATTCTACAATTTTCCTTTTTACATTGAGCCATGAGAGTTTAATTGAAGTGTCTAAAAATATTTCTTTATACATAATTGACTGCTTTTATCCAAATATCAGGGCCTGTATGCTGTTGGGAATTTCCTACCAAGTGAAGAGAATGTGTTTCATCAGAACCTGCACAGAGAACCATTAAGGTCTTTAACAGACCTTAGTCAAGATGCCAACAGAATTTTACCTGGTAAAAATGGTGGCAGCAGTGATGGAATTTCTTCTCACCACTCTGAGAGTATCTTGAATAGAAATCATAGAGATTCTGGATCCCTAACTAACATCAAGAGAGCAAATGCTGATGTAGAGATCATAACTCCACGGAGCCCCATGGGAAAGGAAAATATGGTTACCTTTAGCAACACGTTGCCAAGAGTTAATACACCATCACTAGAAGATCCAGCTCGACGAAATGCAACAATTCATGCATCAATGGACTCTGCCCGTTCCAAGCAACTTCTTTCTCAATGGAAGAACAAGAATGAAAGTCGAAAGTTGTCTCTACAGGTAATAGAGACTGACTCTGGACAGTCACCACCAAGAACTATTGAAATAAGATCCAGCTCTGAGCCATCTAGAGTGGGTGTTAATGGGGATCATCATGGCCCCACCAGTCAGTACCTAAAAATTCAGCCTGGTAGTGTGCCTGGTTGTAACAATACTGGTCTTTCAGGTGGGCCCAGAGTCTCTATTCAGTCACGTCCAGGGTCTTCACAGCTAGTACATATTCCTGAAGAGACACATGAAAATATAAATACATCTCCAAAAAGTAGTTCAGCTAGAGCAAAATGGCTGAAAGCTGCGGAGAAGAGTGTTGCATGTAGAAGCAATAGTCAGCCAAGAATCATGCAAGTGATAGCCATGTCAAAGCAGCAAGGTGTGCTTCAGAGCAGTACTAAGAATTCAGAGGGTAGCACAGTTACCTGTACTGGAGCCATCCGGTATAAAACCTTGACAGATCATGAACCAACCGGTATTGTCAGAGTTGAGGCCCATCCAGAAAATAACAGACCGCTGATTCAGATGCCATCAGAAGGTGAAGGGAGTGGATCATGGAAATGGAAAGGTCCTGAGAAAGGCAGCCTTCGGCAAGCATATGAGCTCAATGATCTCAATAGGGACTCTGAGAGCAGTGACTCCTTAAAAGACAGTTATGGGTCAGGTGACAGGAAAAGAAGTAACATAGATAACCCTGAGCACCACCATCATGGAATTACCACTATTAGAGTCACACCAGTTGAAGGAAGTGAAATTGGCTCTGAGACACTGTCCATTTCCTCTAGCCGGGACTCTACACTTCGAAGAAAAGGTAACATCATTTTAATCCCTGAACGAGGGTGCAGTCCAGAGAACACCAGAAACATCTTCTATAAAGGAACATCCCCCACAAGAGCATACAAAGAATGAAATCAGAAGTATCGGCTGATCCATACCATCAAGAATTAAATACATTTTGATAAAGCTCCTGCTCTATTTGTTTTTGAGCTGATGTTAGAAATATCCTTGATGTGCCAAATTACTGATCATCAGCCTGACTCTTTTTTAATGTTGCTGATGCGTGGTGTGCATGAGTCTGTGCATATCATATAGTGGGGGGAAAAGCACAATGCAAGAACCTAACTAATGTGAAGAGCTTTCTTAGAACTTCAGACTCAAAATATTTATCTGAGGGTGATGATGTCAATCAAAAACAAGAGTCTTGAACAGACACTTTATTTCCTGAATGTGCCAACTTTTTTATTTTATTTATATTTACGTCCGAGGACAAATCGATTTTTCACAGCAAAGGCTGTATCAGTGTTGTATAATCACCTTTGCAGAGTCTGCACCAAAACTTTAATACAGGATGGTGCTGATTACAACTTTACATATTTTGAAAAATTTAAATACCTGTTTAATTCTACAGACACATGATGTGTTGGTGTGCAGTTACTTTAAAAGTAATGTCAATAATACTATGATGATGCTGGCTGCATTCATTTAGAGTAGGAAATATTTACAGCTTTGTTATAGTGGATCTGTCACATTAAAAGATTGCAAAGGTTTTGTGTAGTTCTTTAAAATGTCTACTGCAACAAAAAATATGTGGGTGACGCTCCATTAGAATGGAATATCTATCCATTTTGAATAGTTTTGCTGCTGTTACTGCTCAACTTTTGTTTAAGTACAGGTGCTACTAATGAAGAGGCTGCTTCTTAGTGGGCTAACTTGTAGAACTGTTTTAAATATTGTTTTTAAAGGGGTCTTTTAAAAGTACTTACAGTAATTCTGATTCTACATTCTCACAACCTCGCATTTTGTCTCTCTTCAGATCTTATGTGTTTCTGTTCATTTTTATTGGATAATGCTTGGCACTGATAATTGAATGATGAAAAAGTGTGACCCACACAATTCGAAATTGCCGCTGCCTGATCAGTTGCCAGCTACTAAGTAATTAGTGGTCTAGCTTACACTTAGAAGTAGTCGGTCACTTCACTTGCTTAGTTTGGCACAAATGACCCATACATTTCACTCCAGTCACGGTCATGTGAGTCCTTACTTATGATGCTTTGCTTTAAATTTGGAATGCCTTGGTATTAACGGTATTAGAGAGTGTTACATTGTGCCACAGCTATAGCTGAGTTCCCTGAGTCAAACTCAGTAGGAGCCTCCTTTAAGCATGACTTCTTTTTAGTTAAAGGGGTGGAGTCCTTGTATCTGAGAGAACGTAAATTAACTCTTAGGAGTGTTGTTCTTATCAAGACATGAAATTGCCTGTGTTAGAAGGAGTTTCTGAATGAGCGAACTCAAAAAGGAACAAACATTGCATTTCCTAGATACACAGGAAATAAAAACACGGAAGGGATGTGGTTTAGTTAGACCTCCAGTTTTATTAACTTAACTCATCTGGGAATTATCTGGTAATAACTTGTCCAGGGCAGGTCATCGGTTTTTTTTGGCATTGTTTCTACATGGTGGAGTGCTGTCATCATGCTCCCATCCCTCAACATTTAGTCCCAGTTTATTCCTCTCCCTCTCCTACCTGAGGATTAGAGGGCTGAGGAAAGATGTTGTTTGGATAGACATTAGTAGTCCCAAACAACATTCCTCAGCTCCTTCAAAGAATGCCTTCCACAAAGTCCTGTGCCAGTTTTAGGTACCAGGAAATGGGACCTCTAAGGAAGAATATGGCCTGGACAAGAAGTATGTGCAAAATTGCTACAGCTGGGAGCTAGTTCCCTGACCTACCACAATGAGTCCCTAAACTGCTATGAAGAAGGGGGGGGGGGGGGGGGGGAGACCCCC